TTGTAGCCTTGAATGGATTTGAAGACAAAATTACCTTATTACAAGGTAAGTTAGAAGATATCGAATTGCCAGTTAAAGAGGTTGATATAATTGTCTCCGAATGGATGGGTTACTTTTTATTATACGAATCAATGTTGGATACTGTTTTGTACGCCAGAGACAAGTATTTGGTCAAAGGTGGTTTAATTTTACCAGACAAGTGTTCGATGTATATTGCTGGTATTGAAGATGCCCAATACAAGGAAGAAAAGATTCACTACTGGGAAGATGTTTATGGATTTGATTACTCTCCATTCATCGATGTTGCTATGGTTGAACCTTTAGTAGATACCGTTAACAACCAATCCTTGATTACCACTCCACATAAATTCTTTGAGTTTGACATAAATACAGTCAAGAAGGAAGAGTTAGCTTATCACAACAACTTTGACTTAAAAGCTATTGACACTGATTTATGTCATGCTTACATTGTTTGGTGGGATTGTGAATTCCCAGGTGATGAGACAGTTACTTTGCACACTGGTCCAATGCATCAATACACCCATTGGAAACAAACTGTTTTCTACATGGATCAAGTCCTTAACTTAAAGAAAGGTGATCATATTAAAGGATCCATTGCTTCCAGACCAAATTCTAAGAATCCAAGAGAATTAGACGTTGAAATCAGTTGGAATGTTAAGACTGACTCGAATGATAAATCAAGAGAAAAGTCTGGTAAGTATAATTATTTCATGCGTTAATTCATCCTTCATTTCTAGATTATTTAGCATAATTACGGTACTTCATTTTCGATTTTGTATTAATAGTCAACTAGCATAGTTAACTAAAAAGAGTTTATTTTTCCGCATAATTTATTTGTAAGCTTGTCATTTTTCAACTCTTATCGCAAGTCAAGGTGGTAGCAGTTTATCGAATATAAAGCATTTTTCTCTTGGATGTTTTGAATACATGTTTCGTAGAAATATCATACAGTTAAAGCCGGTATTAATTAGGAATAGTTTGAAGCAACAAGTATCAAGATTTTTATCACAAGCCAAAATGACAAAAAGTGATGAAGAATGGAAAGCAATCCTTTCACCTCAGCAATTCAGAGTTTTAAGACAACAAGGAACCGAAGCCCCTTATTCAGGAGAATACAATTCTAAACCGACAACAAAGACAGGGGTCTATGAGTGTGTTGCATGTAGAAACCCGTTATATAAGTCACTGACGAAGTTTGATTCTAACTGTGGGTGGCCTGCATTCTACGAAGCTATTCCAGGATCGCTTAGAATACTAAAGGATGAATCGCATGGAATGATAAGGGAAGAAATGCGTTGTAGTAAGTGTGATGGTCACTTGGGTCATATATTCAGAGGCGAGGGATATAAAAATCCTACTGATGAAAGACACTGTGTTAATAGTGTTTGCTTGAAATTTAAAGAATAAATAATCAGAGGAAAAAGTCTGATTATTGGTATATTTAATATAAGTTAATATAAGTTAAAAAGATGGCATAAAATAATAAATATGTAAGAAGACTCAGAGGATTAAGCTAAGAATGGAACATAGATCTTTCTCTTTAACTTTTTGTAGTCATCGCCAAACGTCTTCAAGTATCTCTTATGTTTCTTGACAGCCCAGAGCCACATTTGGCCAGTGGCAACAACTAAGAAGACCCAAGAAGACCAGTTGCCAACCAATAAAGCATAGAACAACCAACTTAATGATTCAAAGAAGTAATTAGGACACGAGACCCAATCAAAACCATAGCCATATGGGATAACATAGTTCTTGGTGTTGGAAGAAGATCTCAAACTGGCCAAATTCAAATGGGTGGTAAAGTTTGACAATTCAGCAAACAACCATAATCCTGCTAATGTGTAATTAACATAGGCTGGAAAATCGTTAACGTAGAATAAAAATTTACTCGAGAATGATGAGTTATCAGTAGGAGGACCATAAATAAAGAACGACAAATTGAATCCAGATAAGATCCAATAGTGGGATGAGTTCTTAAAAATATTGAATACTGGCATGGTAGCATTCGAGAACTTATGAACAAACACAGTTTCGAATTCTCTCTTCAAAAAGTGTAACAATACTAACACATAGGCCACAAACTGGGTGTGGGTGTGGGTAAAAGAACCTTGACCATAGATCGAGCTGAACAAATAGAAGAGCGGATGAATCAAAAGCGGACCGAAGTATTCGATTATGAAAACAGTTCTCCAGGCAATTTGTGGCCCTAAGTCCTTAGTGTACAACGTAATTGACTTAGTTGACTTGCTAATACCGTTTGCAGCAAATGTCTTGCTTGCATCCAAAGGAACTTGTTTCCCTGTTGCATCCTTCATTGTAAGTCTGATTCTATCCTTAGAGACATTTTGAGTCTTGCTAATCAACTTAAGCAATTGCTCAACGCTAGAATCTACGTCCAATTCATCAGTACTCAATGCCTTTAAGCTCTTTGAACGAGGAACAATCTCAATTGATACCATATTTCAGTGCTAACTTGTTTCGATATGTGGACGTATTGCTATTTTTTAATTTTGTCCCGGTTTATATGCTCATACGCGCAGTGATTTTTTTCACGTACTCCTATCTTTATTTACTACACAACTTAGTCTTCTATTATAAAAACTTCCATCGTACCAATACAGGCACCGACTACACATTGAAATGGACGTTGACTCTAAATTAGAAGTTTGTATGTACATAACCATTAGAATCTCCTTTATGGTAGAAATGCGACTAACATATTCTAGCCAACTTTCCTAAGGGAACCACCCAAGATTACGTAGAATCGATATTTCTTCCATTTGGAAATATTGTCAGTATCGATGTGACTGGTAGTAAGGCAATTGTGCATTACGAGGAATCTGAAGACTGCTCTAGTGCTATTGCCAATATGAACGGGTTTGATTGCAATGGAACATACTTAAGTGTGAGAAGCGCTTCGCGCAATTAACGTTATGTCCGAAATCTTCTGGAAGCTTCTGCTGGAAATTGCCGTCGTGTGTCATTGCGAATTCATAATCATGATCAAATGTTGAATCAATCGGACATTCTGAAGTATTTTTAGTTATAGAATCTATATAATAAGTTTGTTTTAACAGATTTTAAGTATATTATTGAAAGTTAAAAAAGTATATTAAAATGTCAGATTGGGATTCAGTTACTATTATTGGACAAAAGGCCAGAATTGGCGGTGGTGGACCAAGACAAAATGTTGCTAGAACACAAGGAGAATTGAACGCAGCTAGAAGATCAGGAAATGTTGTTGGAACAGAAAAGAAGTACGGTAGTACCAACACCAAATCTAATCCTGAAGGACAAAGATTGACCAAATTAGATGCAGTTGATGACGTTGTGCCTACTAAGAAGTTGGACATGAATGTTGGTAAGGCTATTCAACAAGCCAGACAAGAAAAGAAATTGACACAAAAGGACTTGGCCACCAAGATCAACGAAAAGCCTAATGTGATCAACGACTACGAAGCCGGTAGAGCCGTTCCAAACCAACAATTATTGGGTAAGTTGGAAAGGGCCTTAGGTGTCAAGTTGAGAGGTAAGAACATAGGGGAGCCATTATTTGCTAAGAAGAAATAGACGGTGTGTTGCAGATTAGGTTGTTAATGTCATATTACGGGTATATTACGATTCTTGACTGATGTCAAATAAATGAGTTCCTAAAATGAATTTGTGTAGTGCCTGTAGCGAAGTAAGCATGTAGATAGATGTTCAGAGGTTTGACAGGCCTGCAAGTAGTCGCCGTCTGCTAGAATATATTCCGTGTGACAATACGGGATGAGTAAAGTATCGGACGAACAATATATGGTCCTTGACATCTAACTAAAGGGCGTAATCAAGTCTATCTAACATATGTCATCATTTGTGCGTATGCATTTGGACTATCCCAATAATTGGTCCCTTGGCCCAGTTGGTTAAGGCGTGGTGCTAATAACGCCAAGATCAGCAGTTCGATCCTGCTAGGGACCATTTTTTTTTTTAATTTTTTCACCATAAAAAGAAATTTCTTCTTTGTCGCTTAAACCTTTTTTTGCTTCCTACTTTCCCCCTGTCTTTTTGTACCCCCCCTTTCCCCTTCTCGTCTCATTCTATGTTCTAATAACCCTTGGATGTACGGGCTTTCTTTTTTTTTTCAGAACCGTATATCCCCCCTCTATTCATCGTCAAAAGGCACCGACTCCCATCTTTCGCCATTTAACAATCAAATTTACGCATGAGAACAAGAGTAAAATGAATAGAAAGTAGCCGAATACGAGAACACGGCGATGTCTACTTAACGCATTGCCTAAAACGCCTATGCAACAATTGACCATATCAGCAAATTAAATGGCTACTTACGTAAGCAATTGAAAACTCCGTGATAACAAATCGCCCTAAATGTGATCGCTTGTCGCTTGTGATATCCATTTTTTGGAAAACGTACGGTTTTTCGAAGCGATATTATGTGGTTCTGAGATATTTTGTAATCTCATATCTAGTGCCACCCCACAATTCGCTCGAACCTTATCTCAAATAGTTCAACAATAGATTCGTCAATGATTGTATATCAGTGCATGTAGACTTGAGATAGGTAGATAACTATATATATACGTGTTGACTCCCAAATTCAAAGTTTTGGATGTTGAAAACTCTATTAAGTATATTACAGTTTGTAAGCTCATTTCGACATTGACATATTAGTTTAAATACTTGAGCCGCAGTCAAACATGAAAGAGGTTAAAGATATGAAAAATTTATTTACAGTGAAGTCACCCACGAAACCAGGGATCTACAGAAGTAACTCTTCTTATGTAAACTTGTCGATATCCAACTCGAAGATTGTCAATATTGATGAAAGTGGAAAGATATTATCGGCAGAAAACTCGAACGAAACATTCAATGAAAAAACTTTGGAAAGAGGATTAAAGCTGAGACACGTTCAATTAATCGCTTTAGGGGGATGTATAGGTATGTTTTGAATTAAGGGGGGAATTTCACATAAAATGCCGGAGATTAATTACTAACATTCACAGGTACTGGTTTATTTATTGGAACAGGTAGTGCCCTTTCTCAATGCGGAGCTGCATCACTTTTTATCAGTTATATCATAATGTCAGCAGTGATATTCTTCGTCATGAATATGCTTGGGGAAATGACAACATTCTTGCCCTTGCCAGGAAATGGAGCACAGGCATTTGTTAACGATTATTTCGACGACTCTTTGGGATTTGCAATTGGATACAATTATTGGTATGCCTTCTCGATGTTGATTGCTTCTGAAGTCACGGCTGCTGCAATTGTCATTCAATATTGGAACACTACTGTTAACATTGCTGTCTGGATTACCATATTCTTGGCAATTATTGTGATCCTCAATATGAGCTCGGTAAAATACTTTGGGGAAGCTGAATTTTATTTTGCTTCGTTAAAGTTAATTGCCATTACAGGGCTCATTATCTTGGGGGTTGTATTATTTTTCGGGGGTGGACCTAACCATGACAGATTGGGTTTTAGATATTGGCAACATGGTGGTGCATTCAAACAGCATTTAACAACAGGAGATACCGGAAGATTCTTGAGTGTATGGACAGCAATCATTAAATCTGGTTTTGCATTTATCTGTTCTCCAGAATTGGTTTCTATTGCTGGTGGTGAATGCCAAAAACCAAGAAGAAATATTCCAAAAGCCTGTAACAGGTTTATTTACAGATTGTGTTTCTTCTACATTTTTGGTACCTTGGTTATCGGTGTTATTGTCAATTCCAACAATAAGAGACTTTTAAGTGGTGGTAGCGATGCATCAGCTTCCCCATTTGTTATTGGTATTCAAAATGCCGGAATACCAGTTTTAAACCATATAATAAATGCTGTGATCTTGACTTCTGCTGCTTCTGCCGGAAATTCTTTCTGTTACTCGGCTTCAAGATCCTTGTATTCCATGGCAGTCAAAGGATTAGCTCCAAGTTGCTTTGCAAAGGTCAATAAATTAGGTGTTCCTTACTACTGTGTTTTAATTTCCTCAGCAGTAGGTTGTCTTGCTTACCTCAATTGCTCTTCATCCTCTTCCAGTGTTTTCACCTGGTTCTCAAATATTGCTACTATTTCTGGTTTTATCAGTTGGATCGCCGTTGGAATGGCTTATTTGAGATGGAGAAAAGCTATAGAATTCCACAACTTACAAGATAGAGTTACTTACAGGACCATTTTACAACCATATGGTGCCTACTTTGTGATTATTTTTATCGGTCTCGTTACTTTGACTAACGGATATGCTGTTTTCTTTGATTTCAATGGTGCCGATTTTGTTGCCGCATATATCACCTTCCCAATAGTGATATTCTTGTACTTTGGACATAAAATATATAACATTACGGTGAATGGAGTCACAAGATGGATCAGACCTTTGGAGGAAGTCGATTTGCTCACTGGTTTGGATTTGATCGAAGAAGAAGACAACAATACTCCAGACAGAGTACCAAAAAATGTTGCGGAAAAGATCTGGTACTGGGTCGCATAAAAGCTCAAAGCACATATTGAACACATCTTATTCTATATTCAATTCTTCCATTCTATATAATAATACTTTAGTACCAATGCTATTAGATTACATAAACGATATTTTGCAACTTTTTAAAATCAATCACGTGCCTCATCGCTCTTTTCAAAGTGCACTGTAATTTTTTTTTTTCACTCTTAGACAGTAACAACTATACTACCCATCTGATTATAGCAAGAGACATGTCGAGTTTATCCCAACAGTTAAAGTCAATTAACGAGAAGACTGCCTCTGTGGCGTTGGATAGAAAATCTCGTTCGAAGATACATTCAAGGTCACTTATATTTGACCCTAAAGTTGCATCGACTCAGGATTATGATTACATATATCAAATTGGGTTAGAGGGTTTAGAAGATCTTATTGAAATAGACTCTAGATTTAGTAAATTCAAGCAAACATTGTTTTCTGAAACTACTATTAACTTGGACAGAAATGTTCAAACTCAAGATACTTTGGATCAATTAAACAAGAATGTTGAAGTTTTCTTGTCATTAGTTAGTCCTTATTATTTATTAACCCCTTCGATCAAAGCAATCGAATGGTTAGTAAGAAGGTTCTATATTAATATCCATAATGGAGAAATGTTATTACTCACAAGTTTGCCATTTTACAATTCATCAGTTTTCGTCAAAATTTTGAATGTAATTCCAAAGAATCAATTCCCAAAGATTTTTGAATGGGTTGTTGGATATAAGGACTTATTGAAATCTCCAACATCTAGTTCTATTTTGAAGTCGTTCCATAATGATGTAAAATTTTTCGAATTATATTCTAAGTATTTGGTGGATCAGGTAAACAACCATGCTGTTTTTAAAGAACAGTTAGTTTTCTATTTGGCAAACACGGTTCAATTAGTTGCATCTTTCACTCATAACTTAGGCGAATTTGGTGAAACATACTTGCCAGTTATTTTGGAAGTTGTGGGAAAATTACTTTTGGTAGACACGAAGTTTTCATTTACTTTGCGTAATGATATAAGATTAACTGCCTACTCAATAATTTCAGTTCTCAGCTCTCTTATACCTTTGAGACCTGATTTAATCAAATCATTTACTGAGTCAATATTGCAAGATCCTACTGCATGCGACTCTAATACTCGCAAGCAAACTGTGATCGTATTAGGTCAGTTATGGAATTTTTATAATGAAGATAATTTTGAAATTGATTGCTTCAAAAAA